TCGTGTGGCCCTCTGAATTAGACTTTGCAGGATGACAGCCATTCGACCAAGAGTGCCTGGATGACAGATGCTTTATGTACACTTCAAGTTTAATGTGGTAACCTCCAGGCGATTCTGCTATACCAAGCTTGTGGCAAGCCTGCTGAGGGCTGCCGACAGCCACACCAGGGGAGGAGGGAGCAGAATCGCGGGGCGGTCAGCATTCAAAGGGAGCAGAGAATCGAGTTCAGCCTCTTCAGATTGCAGAGGAACTATGACCGCACAGCAGAATGGTTTCTTGCTGAAGAATCATAGGGATAAGCGTGTGTATGTCCAATCCAAAGGTGGGGACTTAAACTGGAGTCCTCTGCTTGCACAATCTAGACTGGCTACTTGTGCTGTCCAAACACACTGCTGATTTTCAGAACTTCATTAGACTCTTCACCCTGTAGGCAGCTTAAGGATGACTGACTGTATCAACTTGGGCAAGTCCAGTCGGAGCTGTATAAATGGTCCACATCCAGCTGCTCCCACTCTGCATCCCTAATACGGCTCAGAGCCACAAAGCAATCCCGGCCAGTATCCAGTTATTTGGTTGTGGCTCACCAAGTCTAGCCGACCCTTGTCTTTGACCTAAAAATTCTCCAGAGTCAGTTCTTAGAATTTGAAGAGTTTCCAACAGGTATGTGAGAGAAGCACTTCTACTAAGATCTTCGTCTCTTTTTTAAAAAATAGGAATAAGGGTGCCTGGGTGGCTCAGTTGGTTAAGCGACTGCCTTCGGCTCAGGTCATGATCCCGGAGTCCCAGGATCGAGTCCCGCATCGGGCTCCCTGCTCGGCAGGGAGTCTGCTTCTCCCTCTGACCCTCCTCCCTCTCATGTTCTCTGTCTCTCATTCTCTCTCTCTCAAATAAATAAAATAAAATCTTAAAAAAAAAAAAAAAGTAAAATAAATAAATAAATAAATAAATAAATAAAAAATAGGAATAAAAGAGGAGATAGAAGCCAGAAGGAAACATCATCATAGTTCTCTTTGTCTTGCCTTACATCTCGGAGGGAAATGTGAGTCTTGTAGAGTAGTGGCTTAATTTCAGCTGAACATCACTCAACTCATTCAAAGATATTAGGGTATTTTAGAGAAGAATACAGAGTGCAAATTTGAAGTAAAAAACAAAAATATTTTGTGTTCTGAAATGAGAATAAATTTTCTTTGTAAGTTTTCTTCATCAAATAGAGACAAAATAAAGAGGAAAAGAAAAATGGAAGTGTGGTCTCATTAATGATTGACTCCCCCACCCACACACAAGGGCCACGTGTGGACAACACATGCCTTTAGACACACACCTATGTACCCTAAATCTCAATGTCTTATATGTATCATGATTTCATAGCAATACTACCTGTTTTTTTCTACTCTTAAGGAAATAGAATAAAAATGTGTTGGTAGACACTACCCTCTTGCCTAACTTTCCCCACCCTCCATAATGCATCTACCACCTAAAAAGAGTTGCCATCCATGTATAATATCCTGTCATCTGCACATAGTGAGAGTTTGACTTCTTCCTTACCAATTTGGATGTCTTTTATTTCTTTTTATTCTCTGATTGTTGTGGCTAAGATTGCCAGTACTATATTGAGTAAAATGGTGAGAGTGGACATCCCTGTCCTGTTCCTGACCTTAGGGGAAAAGCTCTCAGAAAACCCTAAGGACTCCACCAAAAAGCTGCTAGGACTGATCAATGAATTCAGTAAAGTCACAGGATACAAGATCAATGTACAGAGACCTGTTGCATTTCTATACACCAATAATGAAGCAGCAGAAAGAAATTAAGAAAACAATCCCATTTACAATTGCACCAAAAATAATAAAATATCTAAAAATAAGTTTAACAAAAGTGGTGAAAGACCCATACTCCGAAAACTACAAAACACTGATGAAAGAAGTTGAAGATGACACAGAGAAATGGAAAAACATTCCATGCTCATGGACTGGAATAACAAATATTGTTAAAATATCTATACTACCCAGAGAAACCTACACATTTAATGCAATCCCTATCCAAATACCAGTAGCATTTTCACAGAACTATAACAAACAATCCTAAAATTTGTATGGAACCACAAAAGACCCCAAATAGCCAGAGCAATCCTGAAAAAGAAAAGCAAAACTGGGGGCATCATGTCTGGACTTCAAGCTCTATTACAAAGCTGCAATCATCAAGACAGTATGGTACTGGCACAAAACCAGACACATAGATCAATGGAACAGAAGAAAAAATCCAGAAATAAACCCACAATTACACGGTCAATTAATCTTCAGCAAAGGAGGCAAGAATATCCAATGAGAAAAAGACTGTCTCTTCAACAAATGGTGTTGGGAAATAGTACAGCAACATGCAAAAGAATGAGACTAGACCACGTTCATACACCATACACAAAAATAAATTCAAAATAGATTAAAGACCTAAATGTGAGACCTGAAACCATAAAAATCCTAGAAGAGAATGCAGACAGCAATTTCTGTGACATGAGCTATAGCAACTTCTTTCCAGATATGTCTCCTGAGGCAAGGGAAACAAAAGCAAAAATGAACTATCGGGACTTCATCAAAATAAAAAGCTTCTGCACAGCGAAGGAAACAATTAACAAAACTAAAAGGCAACCTAGGGAATGGGAGAAGATATTTGCAAATGACATATCCAATAAAGTGTTCGTATCCAAAATAATAAAGAACTTTTACAACTCAACACCCAAAAAACAAATAATCCCCAATTAAAAATAGGTTCTAAAAAAAGTTTTATGTTCATGTCTTGAACAGACATTTTCCCAAAGAAGACATGAAGATGGCCAATAGATACATGAAAAGATGCTCAACATCACTCATCACCAGGGAAATGCAAATCAAAACTACAATAAAATATCAGCTCACACCAGGAAGACTAAAGTCAACAACACAAGAAATAACAAGTGTTGGCGAGGATGTGGAGAAAAAGGAACGCTTGTGCACTATTGGTGGGAGTGCAGACTGGTGCAGCCATTGTGGAAAACAGTATGCAGGCTCCTCCAAAAGTTAATAGAACGACCCTGTGATCCAGTAATTGCACTACTGGTATTTAACCCCCTATTTTCTAAAATAGAAAAACACTAGCTCAAAGGGACGCATGTACCCTGATGTTTACTGCAGCATTATTTACAAATAGCCCAATTATGGAAGCAACCCAGCTGTCCATCAGTAGATGAATGGATAAAGAAGACATGGTATATATACAATGGAATATTATTTAGCCATAAAAAAGAATGAAATCTTGCCATTTGCAACAACATGGACGGAGCTAGAGAGTATTATGCTACGTAAAATAAGTCAGTCAGAGAAAGAAAAATACCATATGATTTCACTCATACGTGGAATTTAAGAAACAAAACAAATGAACAAAGGAAAAAAAGAGAGAGAGTGACAAATCAAGACAAAGACTCTTAAGTAGAGCGAGCAAACTGACGGTTATCAGAGGGGAGGGAGGTCGGGTGACGGGTGATATAGGAGACGGGGATTCAGGAGGGCACTTAGAGTGATGAGCACTGGGTGTTGTATAAAATTGTTGAATCACTCTGTTGTACACCTGGAACTAATATTACACTGTATGGTAACTGGAATTTAAATAAAACTTTAAAAACATGTAATAAAAATAAATACTAAATAAATAATTTTTAAAAATAAAATTAGTTACTTAAAAAAAAAGGAGTTGCCATCCAAATAAGAAAAGAGCATGGACCCATGAGGCAGGGGAGTTTCCTTGGGGGGGGGGGCATTTGATACAAAGTAATTTTCAAAGTAAGGCAACCAGGAAGGCCTCAGATCTTCCCCTTCAGGAAGAGTTTGACTTTTGCTTTAAAAAAAGGCATGATTTATTCCTTATTTGGAGGATCCACCTACACATAGTCCTTTTCTTCATTAAATATGAACAAATCCTTTGACAGACTTTAAACTGAAATGCTTGAGAAACGGTCACAAGTGATAAGCGTGTGAACAGGATGGGACCCCATACACCAAAATACAATATGGCGCCCCTGCTGGAACCCAGTGACTGTGTCATGATTCCCAGACAATACTGATCGTAAGAAACGCTTTTAGCTTTCAAATGACTAAGAAAATTGATGTGTTAATGAAGCTACAGCATGTATTGATCAATACATGATCACACCAGTCTCTCCTTACTCTGAGCACCCTTATTCTTTCCTCAGGGATTTGGCAGTTCCTCCTGTCTTTGCTTGCGTTGGTTGCCCTGCATATATCTCAGTACTAATTCCTTCTCACCTACTTCTTTCTTAGGTCCTTGTATCAGTCAGCTTTCAGTAAATTGTGCCACGCTGACAAACACCACCTAAATGGCAGGGGCATAACACAGCAAAGGTTTTGTTCTCGCTTGTGTTAAATGTGCTGTGCAGATTGGCTGCCACTCTGCACCCCAGGCCTTCATCCGGAGTCCAGGCTGAGGGAACAGCCCCTATCAAGGCACACCGACCTCGGGTCAGAGGGAAAGACAAAGAGCAAATGGGTGTGGCAGTTCCGGTGGCTTCCGCTCAAAAGTACAGACATCACTCTACTCACACGCCAGTGACTCATGCTCACGTGGTCAAGCTGACAGGACTGGAGTGGAGTATGCTCCTCCCACAGGGGGACTCAGGAAGGAGGGGCCCTGCAGGGGGAGAGAGGTCCAGCGGAGGGGCAGCGAATATTCCGAACAAATATTCTGAACGAATATTTTGGTGGTCACTTTGCAAGAAACTAGAGAATACGGTCATTCTACCAAAGAGCAATATTTGCTCTACCAATAACACATTTATATCCTGCTGCTTTGTTTGCGTGCCTTTCTGTGTACTTAACAACTTTTCCTTTAAGTGCAAAATTATACGTAATTTTTGGAGAGATTTTTAAGTGTCAGTTAAACTCAGTCATGTAGCCACCAACACACTCGTGGCTCATGGGAGCACCATCAGTGTGACAACCAGACAGAGTCTACTCACACACAGGCAATGGGAACTGTGTCGGCTGCTTCCTGGTCAACAGCAAGCATAAGACATCATTGTCTCGAAGACGCGTTCCAATTGCACATTTGCTGAAATGTGAAAAAAAGGTATATTAAAATCAATGAAATATGATATTTGTGGGTATGTGTGTGGAAAATGAGATTGGCTGATCAGTTCTTAAATGTTCTGCATCTTTGCGCCTCCAAGTGTAGGCTGCGGTTCGAAGCTATTCATGCCCCCGGGAGCTGGTTAGGAATGCAAAATTGCACACCCCAGCCAAGACCCACTGACTTGGAACATTAACAAAATCTGCAGATGATCCTCATGCCCATTTAAGTCTGATAAGGAGCATTCTAAATGACATCGGTGCCATAGCTGGTAAGTGCATCATACCAGAGTGAACACACACATACACACATGCATGCACAGAGATCATGGAGACAGTCCCCACCCCTCCGTGCATCCTGGGGCTCCAGCATATGGGGCAAGAGGAAAGAGTTTCAGAGGTTATCCCATTCAGCAAGACGAGAGTGGTGACAAGGACAGATTGGACAGCTCAACCCTGGCCACACATGAAAATCACTTGGGATACTTTTTTTAGAAATACTGAAGCCTGGGCCTTGATCTCGGAGATTCATTTGGTTTGGGGCACTCAGGGTGCAGCATGGGTGGGGCTTCCCAGTCAGAGGGCTGGGAGCAGCGGGGCACGGAAGGAAGGTCTGTGTGTAAGCCCGGAGTGGAGCTGTCAAGCTTCTCTTGTGAGCACCTGAGTCCTCACCTTCACCGGGGACACTGTGTACATAGGTCCCAAATTAGGGGCAGGAAAGAGACAGATGTGTTGCATGGGGTTTAGAGCTGACAGGAGTTAGGATCAGAGCAGCATAATGACTCTGGATTTGACTTGATTGCAAGTTCACGTGTAAATAGCCCGCACACACCTGATGTGAGGAAACCATAGTAACTTCAAGTCCAAAGACCCGGATCATCTCCTCTTTAGCCCTAAATAAACCAGCTAAATGCCCCAAGCCTCAGTGCTCTGGTCTGTTAAATGGGCTTAGAAGTAATAATTGCCACCTGCCTCCTCCCTCCACACTGGGATACTGAGGTTTACAGAGATGCTCTTTATGAAATGAAACTTCCTAAGGTGCCATACAGGTGTGTTATTTTTTGTACACATTTTTAGAATGGTTTTCAGTTCATTTTATCTCTCTAAAGAGCTACTGATTATTTATGTTAAAAGGAGGTTGCCTTGGGGCACCTGGGTGGCTTAGTCAGTTAAGTGTCTGCCTTTGGTTTAGGTCATGATTTCGGGGTCCTGGGATCTAGCCGCGTGTCCGGCTCTGCGCTCAGCGGGGAATCTGCTTCTCCCTCTCCCTCTACCTGCCGCTCCCCCTGCTCATGTTCTCTCTCTCTCTCAGATAAATAAAAATCTTTAAAAAAAAAAAAAAAAAAAAAAAGAGGTTGCCTTTTACCTTAGATCATTTGAATGTAGGTAAACAAGCCAAAATTAGGAGTTTCAAACTGGATTCCTTGAGGCACTGGGGTTTACTAAATTTGCGTTCCACAAAGTATTTTTCAAGTACATCTAGGGTTGTTATTGTCATTGTTGTTGTTTTCATTGTTGTTTTGGTGATTTTTTTTATTTCCACACTTTAACCAACTTATGAGAGGATACATTATCTGAATTTACTTTGTCTTCAACTTCCAAATTATGTCTCCATCGTATGGTGACATATGTGGTCCTTTGTAAGGGAAGCCTTAAATTACATCAGAAAATAAGCAGTAAAAATATTGCCTCCAATGGGCAGAATATTTGGAATGTTATTTGTTTTGGGATTATTATCATTTTTCTCCAAGTTCATTTAAGGACTATATAATTGATAATACTTGCTTTTGCAGGCAGTTAAAGCCGTCTAATTGAAGAGAGTTTCATATATGTGTGTGTATACACATGCATATGTATATAGAGATATATGTATATACCCATGAAGACTCCTATTCACAAGTGGTAATTTTGAGGAGATGATGAACCTCTGCCATTTTTCAAAGCCTCTTGAGTTGTCAAGGTCATGGACATAGAATGAACCCACCTGTCCTATCTGGGTGCCCATCAATATAAACACCGGGGAGGATGGCATCATTACTAGAACAAGTGGGCTTTCTTCATGTCTTCTCCCTTTGAAATGTCTAACCATCTCGAGCTGGGTTACAAATGTTGGCAACAATCACCCAGGCTTTCGAAGTGAAAAAAATCACTCTCACTGAAGCCACTGACAACAGGATAAAAAATTCATCCAAAATTTCTTCCAAAAGGATAAAAAATTGAAGAGGGAGGATGAATGCTGGCTCACCCATATTTCTTTGCTCAGATGTTAGTCCTACATCTCGGGGACCTTCCCAAATGATTTACTCCTGCTCGACAACGGAGGGAGAAAGCGTGGCAGCAATCATTCATCTCATGGGGAAAGTGGTATGTGCAACGAAAAAACCCATCTGTCCATGAATCTTGACTTCTACTTTGGGAGATGAAAAATAGGACTCACCGTGAGTAAGAAGATGAAGGCCCCTCTAAGATCTTTCTTCTTCCCCCCAGTTCCACTTTTCACATTTAAACTAGTGAGATTCTGATCAAAACCAACCATTTTACCTGCAATCCCACTGTATGTTCTTGGAAGTGAAAGACGATCCCAGAGCTAAAAAGGAGAAGCTCAGACCTCTTCATTGTGCTGGTGGGGATGGCACAGAGCGAGAGAGCCCCTTCTCAAAGCACACTTTCCTCTGTCCTCTCTACAGGTGGAGCGTGAAGGTGAGCAAGAGACTCCGCAGAGGACCACGCTCAGTAGACGAAAATCCTGAAAAGAGAGAACAGAAAGTAGAGCTAATCATAGGAATGAAAGCATTTTTTTTTCCTTTGTAGGTTTTTTTTTTTGTTGTTGTTTTTTTTGGTGGGGTGGCGGGTAGAGGGCTCAGGGGAGATGAGACCTGTCTTGAGCTACATTGTAGAAATTAAGAGTTACATAAGGTAAGTAAAGATAAAAGGGAATAAAACATTCATGTTAGGGAATCTTTGTTTTCAAAACAACTCAATACTATCTATGGTATGAAGGGATAATCAGTAAAAGGTAGCTCTTTCAACCCAAGTAACAAAGAGAAAACTCAGCTTTGATCACTTCAAAGGAAACCAAATACAGCAAATGGGAAAACCTTAAGGACAGATGGAGGAGAGTAGGAGCTTGCGAGCATGTAGTAGTCAAGGAAAACAGCCCTTGGAAGACACAATAAAATGAGCCCAAATCCCATATATGCACCTGTGGTGGAGACGCTCCGCTGCAGTTCTCAATCCCGGACGTCAGCAAGCCTGCAGTCTGGGGGGAGGAGCTCTTTGGCCTCGGAAGCACCATGTGATCAGAGAGAAGAGAAACCAGATGCAAGCCTGAAGGGGAGCAGGGGCTCATCAATTTAAGTCAGGGAATTAAAGGTTGTGAATAATTAGGTTGCTATTTGTAAAAACTGGGTAGGGAGACAGCATAAAACATCAGGAGGCATGAAAGTGAGGCTTGGAGACATCCTATCACCCTGTGAGCACATCGTTCTAAACGCGGTGGCCAGATGCTGTGAGTGGGTCCACACCCTGGGAACATAACCTGGATCTTGAGCCACATCCCCAAACTGAGCCTGAGATGCAGATTGGCTCCCCATGGACAACTGAGCAACTTTGTAATCAGGAACATGAAACAAACATGTAGAGATAATGAAGCAACTCTAACCCACAGTGTTAATACTTCGGTGTAGAATTCGCAACTATGTAATAATCGTCAAAAACAAGATTATGTGTCATATAAGTCACTAGAAACATACATAGGATTTCAGCATATTGGAGTATGTGCCATATCGGCCCTGGGGTATGATTTGAAATTTTCAGTCGGTGGTAGACTTGTGGTTTTTGTTTGAAAGGAGTAAGAGAATTTGATAAAGTTGGGAAAGAGTGTTTGATAGTTTAAGAGAACCTGATATATCCACCTATACATTTATAAGAGCTAAGTGCTTAGAAGAAATTTGCTTATTGGGTTTGTAAGTCTGTCCTGACAGGAATATAAAGTGCTATGGCCATACTAAATTTTGAGAATAGAGTTTTAAAATGCTTAAGAGAATTTAACTAAATAAGTTTCTAAGTTTGGTTGGTTATTTAAATAGGTGGATCTCGTTTGTTTAACTTACGAGTTAATCAAATATTTAAAAAATTGATTTTCAACTTTAAAAACTGAGCATTGATTTATACAAAAGTTATTCTAAGTAGCCTTTCCTGAGACAAACCTTTACTAAAAATTTTTTTAATCTAGATTACTATACACCTCAAATAGACTCAGAAAGGTGTCACATTTCTCTTTGAAATAAAAGGGTTGTTTTATTTTCTTGAATAGCCCACTGAAGGGAGAAAGAATGATCACAGTATTGCAGCTAATTTGGAAGCCCCTACTACACTGAAGTCTGTCTTTTCTAGGGTAGCATCTAGGTTGCAATCATCCAACTTACACTCAATAATAATGCAATAATGATGTTTTTAGCAGTTGGGTTGTTAAAAGCACGTCCACTGGCATGTCTAATCGGTGTTTTCTACACAGCAACCAAAAGCAATTTATATTCTGGCTCTTCTCTATGTCCACTTGAAACCTGAAGGCTTGGCGCTTTACTTACATCATTGTCAAGTGTCCTTGGACTTGACAGCTAAGACCACTCCATTTCTAGGAGAGTTCTCCCCTTGGGGCTAGAGAGAAAAGTAATGGCTTCAAAGCTAAAAGCTCTTTAACATGAGAAGGGCTTAGCACCCTGCGTACACAAGGTACACATCTATGGGTCCCTATTCTTAGTGCCCCAGCATTATGCTTTCATTGCCTTAGTCCTCCGAGAGAAAACACATGGCCAAGACTGGGAGGCAGGAGCCCAAGGAGGACTTCGGACAGCATCCCCAGGACTTAGAAGATGCGGCCGCTCTAGGGGTTCAGGCATAACCTGCCTTCCCCCACTGGAGGACCTACCCCAGGCACAGTGGGAACACGTTTCCGTATGGACTCACTGCTCACACCCACCCACGTGCCCGCCTCCATGCCCGCCCCAGCAGGGACACTGGGATGTGTCACCACGCCCGCCCTCCCTGAGAGGAACCTGCAGCTTCGGGGGTACGGAGGGGACTCCTCAGGGAGACAGGGCCAGCCAGGCTCACGGGCAGGACTTGATGAAGCATGCTGTCTCTTCTGAGCAAGGTGACCACTTGTGGGGGTTGGTGCTGCAAGTCCTGCGTCCTGGGACACCTCTCAAACCCTGAAAATCGGGGGGGGGGTGTCTGCCCTACAAATAAAAAGCCCCGAATTTCCCTCTTCTGCGGGAGTATTCAGAGCTCCTCTACCAAAAGAAGGGAGTGGCCCAGAAGTCCTTGAAAAATGTATCATTCGAAAACACAAAAACATCTGTGGGCAGAAAACAGTTCCTTGCCGAAGAGGGAAGCATCCCTCCCCCTGGGGTTTGCACCAACAACCCTCGCTTGGTGGCCGATTCGGTCATCTGGTGGGTGGCTGTTTTTGACTCCAACGGCATTTGACTTCAGATCAGTGAGAGGAAGTTATTTCCCCTTCAGGCTGTGATGTTTTCATCCCCTTGTTTCCCGTAACAACCTCCCCCTAGCCTAAACATGTGTCCCTTCACAAGACTCTCCTTTTGGCAGACATGGTATTTTAAGTAAAGCTCATGTTGCCACAGTCACGGGCTAACATGGTTTCATTTATAGATCTTATCTAGGAGACTTCGGCAGCCCCGGATCCCCCTCGGAAGCCAAGAGAGGCCGGGCTGGTTCACACTCCCCAGCCCTGCGAGATGAAGAGCAGTGTTCAAGTGGGCTTCACACCTGTCCCTTAATCTCTGCTTCCAGCCAGGCCCCCTCACCCAGGGACAATGCTGGGAGACACTCTTGTCACCACTAGGAGGTTCACTTCTGGCACCTAGTGGGTGGGGGTCAGGAATGCGGCTAACAGACCCTGCGAGGCCCAGGACAGGCCCGCATAAGAAAGAATCCAGTATCAGCAGTGCTGAGGGTAAGGAAGGCATTCGCAGAGATTGGTCCTTTAGCCCTTCGGGGACTTGGAAGACAACATGGCCCAAAGCTTGCACATTTATCACATTCTCTGATCCAGATTCTTGCTGTTTCTGAGGCTGAGAAAACCACCTTCCTTTAGAGAGAGGAGCCCAAGGAGGACTTCAGACAGCATCCCCAGGACTTAGAAGATGCGGCCGCTCTAGGGGTTCAGGCATAACCTGCCTTCCCCCACTGGAGGACCTACCCCGGGCACAGTGGGAACATGTTTCCGTATGGACTCACTGCATGACGAAGAGCGTCGGACTTAAAAGCAAAACATTCTCGTCCATGGAGGAAAAAAAAAAATCTCTTGCCCATCCCAGGTACCAAAAAGAATTAGCGCCCAGTAAAAGCTGTTGACAGTGGTGCTAAGGATGTTAGCGATGTCGCTGATGGTTTTGCAACCGTCCCTCTATCATAATTGTACGTTACCCTGTGACTAAAAGAGAAGCAAAAAGGACGGTGTGCAGGGCACAGTTTTTAGCATAATACTTAACTCTGGGTTTTCTGGTTTCCTTTTGTTTTTAAAGATTTTATGTATTTATTTGAGAGAGAGGGAGAGAGAGCATGAGCAGGGGGATGAGCAGAAGGAGAGGGAGAGAGAGAGAATCCTCAAGCAGACTCCCCGCTGAGCAGGGAACCTGACGCAGGGCTCAGTCCCAGGACCCTGGGATCATGATCTGAGCCAAAGGCAGACGCTTAACGACTGAGCCACCCAGGCACCCCCTGAACTCTTTTTGGAACATTCTGCAAATTCACCATAAAAAAACCTATCAATATATCCACACGATGACCTGTACATAAATGTTCATAGCACTATTATTCATAATAGCCAAAAAGTAGAAACAATCCAAATGCCCACCACCTGATGAATGGACAAACAAAATGTGGTCTGTCCGTACAATGGACTACTATTTGGTAATAAGAAGGGATCACGTACTGTCACAGACTACAACAGGGATGCACCCTGCAAACATCATTCTAAGTGAACAAAACCGAACAGAGAAGACCACATACTGTACAATTTGGTGAACATGAAAAGTCTTTTTTTTTTAACAAATGGTAAATCTATAAAAATAGCAGATTAGAGGTTGCCTAGAGTTAAGAGAAGGAACAAGAACAGAGATTTGCTGCAAATGGGCATGCAGGGTCTTTCTGGGGTCGTGGAAATGTTCTAAAATCGGATTTGGGGACACCTCCCCAGCTCCGTAAATTTACTAAAACTCGAGTTGTATACTGAAAGCAGGTGAATTTTATGGTATGTAAGTTATACCTCACTAAAGCTCTCACCAAAAAATCTATTAGACCTAGGAGGATTTTTTTCCCTGGTATTTGGTAGAGAATGTTATAGAAAGAACACTTCCAACCGCGGAGCAAGATGGCAGAGGAGTAGGAGACCTGGATTTCGTCTCCTCTCAGGAATTCAGCTGGGTAGGGATCAAACCATTCTGAACACCCACAAATTCAACAGGATATTGAAGAAAAGAAGAACAACAACTCTCTCATCAGAAAAGCGACCACTTTCTGGAAGGTAGGACGTGCGGAGAAGTGAATCTGCGGCGATATTCGGGAGGATAGACGGCGGGGGAGGGGCCTCCGTCAGCCCCTTTGGCAAGTGATAGAGCCGCGGAGCACAAAATCGGAACTTTTAAAAGTCTGTTCCGCTGAGGGACGTCACTCTGGGGGCAGAGCGGGGGGGTGGAACCCTCCGGGACAGTGTGGTCTCAGGACCCTTGGGGTCACAGAAAGACCGGGGGTGCCTGAGGGCGGCAGAGCTCCCAGGGATCGGAGCAGGGAAGCCGGCTGCAGAGGCGGAGCCCAGGCGCGGGCTCTCAGCTGGGGTGGCCATAAACCGTGATCCACGGCCCAGTCGGGCCCCTGCTCCCCCAGCAGGGACCCAACAAGCGGCAGATCCGGGGAGACTCACCTTCCTCCCCCGGGAGGGGCCGCGCGGGAGGGCACCGCAGGGATCTGCTGGGTTTGGAGACTCCACCCAGGGTTGGGTGCCGGAGATAGAAACGCGCGGTCACAGGCCGGGCGAGCACGGAGTGCGGCTGGAGACCGGGGAGACGGGAGTGACTGACGGCTTTTCTCTGGGGGCTCACTGAGCAGTGGGGCCCCGAGTTCTTGGCGCCTCCGGGGCGGAGATTGGGAGGCCGCCATTTTCACTCTCCGCCTCCAAAGCTGTACGGAAAGCTTGCAGGGAACAAAAGCCCCAGAGAGCAAACCCGAGCAGATGACTTAGCCGGGAGGGGGCAAGGGCGGGGCAATTCCGCCTCCGGCAGAGACATTTGGAAACCACGGCA